AGAACGATCTATATACAAGTCAGAACACTAATGCCTGATAATAGCCTTGCATGTTCAAAGCTGAGCAAATGGTAAGTCTAAACATCGCGAAGGGCAGCTCTCACACCAAAGAAATCTCATCCCTTAATAAACTATGGCAGAATGCAGAATAGACAGATGAACTTGCTACTGATCAGTTGCTGGAATATTGCTAAGATATATATAACATTTCGGCTGAACATACAACCAAGTAAAGATTGCTGATACAACGATTGTAAAACATTCAAAACATCATTCGAAGAAGTGACACACATTTCAACGAGAAAGTTGAAGCTCAAAGCCATAGGTTCCATCAATTATATACTAACCAAGCAAGAAAGCCATGAAGTGGGTAATGGAGAAGGAGTTTATGACCAAAGCATCATCCCATAACTCACCAATTCCATGAGAACTAAGATCTTCCATATGATGTTTTTGATCCCTTCTAGCAAGAATACCACCATGTATGTTGGGGTGTAATGTTTTCACACGTCCATCAAGCTGTTTGAATGTAAAAGCTCTTTCATCAGATTTCATTAAAGTCGTCAAGAAAATCAACTTCACATCAATCTCATGTATTCCAGTGATGGGAACTTCAGTGTTCATCAATGGTATCACCAAAGCCAATTTCACATAGAATCATGTTACAATAATAGTCATAAGAACTTCAGTTTATAGCTCCCCGTCCCAAGCAGAGACATCAAATTTCATAACCTCATCCGCCATATTAGATGACTCAGGTTATAGAATCTACAAGCAATTCGAATTGCTAAATCAAGGAAATCGAATTAAGAAATGGTACCATTTCAGGGAAGTGGGTCAGCTGCTCTACTTTAGTTACGGACACCCCTGCACTTTCCAAAGAAGAAGCTGTACCTCCTGTTGATACAATGGTGTACCTGCAATTCAGCCAAGGGACCTTAAACTGACGCAGCCTCCTAGAGCACTATAATCTACTCCCCCCTTAACAAACACTCATATACGTGCAATGGGAACTTGAAAAATTACGACACAAGTAGAGACAGCAATGAAACAGCGGGGTTACCCTAAACTTTGTAGCCCGTTACCAAGAAAAGCCAGGTCTTTCTTATCCGACAAAGATATCAGAACCTGCTTTTGGCCTGAAACAAGGACACAAAATGAAGAAATTCGGAAAAAGGAACACCAGACTAACCATCAACTGTGACAGATAAGAAACCGAAGGCAAGAGTAGAGAATAGTACCAGAAGGATAAGAAGACTGGGCCTCCTTATTCGACATCGCAACAGCTTGAGACTCGCTCGTGGCTTTCAGCGCAAAGGACTTCGATTGCAGAGAAACGGAAGGAACTTGAAGGAAGCAATTTGAAGCCTGAATGAAACTCAAAATTAATCCATAAAAATAATACCCATAGAGGAAGAAACAAACCCAAAAACAAAAGGCAGAAGATTGTACCGCTTGACAGGACGAAATGATGGAGGCGAGGGTTTTTCTTTGGTGAAGCAGGCCGTAAGGATTGCCGCAGTGCGCCGAGTTACCGGCGGTGACCGTGGTCGAAATGGCGGCGGCGGCGGTTGCAGCTGGGGAAACGCGAGTCAAGCCGAACATTGCTACACCAGTTTGCCGCGCGCCTAAAAAAGACACTTGTGGGCGGGTTGCTGAGTTCTGCAGTGTGAATGGACACTGGACAGCGGAAGCCTTGTTTTTAAACCGACCAAAGGAGCCGCTACCGGGTAACAAATCCGGTCAGGTTAGGATTCTAAGCGGTTACAATTTTACAATAGACCCGGAACGGTTTATGCGATTGATCGGTCGAACCAGGTAAGCTGGTTTGGACGGCCTTCCAGAGTTTCAGTTAGGGGTGGGCAAATGGTTCGGTAAACCCGAACCGAACCGAAACCGAATTAAACCGAATTAATGCTATTCGGTTCGGAATTCGGAAGGAAACTATGGATAGTTCGGAAATCATGGTTCTTTCAACCGAACCGAATTTCCGAATTTCCGACCGAAAAACCGAAATACTATAATTGCAAGCTCCAAATGGTGGATTTTTATATTTGTAGTTGTTTTTAGACTTAAATATTTGAAATGTTTTATGACTTATGTGTTGAAAAGTTTGGTTTTATCATTGATGATGCATATAATTGATATTTATTGTTTATATTAGGGGTGAAAAATAATTTAAAAGTAAGAAAATACAAGTAGCTTCACAAATTCGATTTTGTGTGAAAAACCAAACCGAACCGAATTATAGTTCGGTTTAAACCGAATTATAATTCGGTTCGAATTCGATTTGAGGTTTGGGAGAATTCGGGGACCCGGTATTCATAATTTCGGTTAGGTTTCGACCGAACCGACCGAATGCCCACCCCTAGTTCCAGTAAATCGGTCTCATAGGATTGGATTAATGTTCTGAATTTACTTTTTTATCGTATTTAAGGGGTCGTTTTGAGAACAGGATTCAAGACTTGTAATTCACCGAATTCGTAGATTTTGTAAAAAGTCATATATTTTATTGTTTTTTGTATTGTGGATTCTAACTTTAGAGATTTCAAATCTCTAAAATATACTGATATCTAATCTCTCATAATGAGAGAGATTCTATATTTTAATTCGTGAAATTTTTTTCTCCTAATTTTTCTCTTCCTTTTATTTATTTATCACATGAAATATATTTATCAACAGTTTTTAATATTTCTCGAAACCACTATAATTTTTTATTAAGGATAAATGTTATTTAATATAAAAATTTTATTTTTATTTTAATAAAATGTTAAGAATCACAGTTACCAAACAATAAACATTTTAAAATCTGTTTTCAACAATCCGAAGAGTTAGAATCTTTAGATTGTTGACAATTTGTAGATTGAAACTCATATTCTCCAAACAATCCCTAAGCTAAACTTTGCTCGTACATCAATTAAGTACATGTTATTAAGTAACAACTTGGCACATCGTAATTTTTTTTTTCAAGTGTGCAGTAATATCTTTGTTTTGCTACTAGTGGCAATTGTTATATTTAATATTGTTATATAATGTTATATAACATAGGAACCCTCAACTAAAAGAATTAGCGGACATAAACCCTTTACTAATTTTGAGAGGATAGGTAATTTATGATCATACATGAAGAAAATGTCTTATTTGCGTTGGAGAATGTCCAAAAATACAGCACTATTTTTTTTTTTTTATGTATAAAACAGAGCTAACTATTAAATTGCAAGGAAAAATATAGTTACATATATCAAAGACAATGAAACTAGTCTTTATGGCGCCTCTATAAGTACCTCCATGGCTCTACAATCTTCTCTCCCCACCACCACAACCCTTTCATCTCATTCCTCTCCAATCTTCTCAAACTATGGCGCCTCTATAAAAAAAAAAAGACAGAGAAAATAGTCTCCCTCGTCCTCCTCTCTAGCTTGCTTAATCCTCTTCCTAACCCTACGCCCTAAACTATGGCATGGTACGAGCTGGGGCTGGATCTGGACAATGGGAAGGTTGTCGTGAACATCATAGCAGGAGGGAAGGTGAGGTTGAAGATCCTAGGTTTTTTACCGACACGTAGGTATAGATTTCAGGCTTGTTTGTACTACGATTATTGTCTTGTATGGGCCAGGAAACTGGCCACTGCTAAACTGTTATATGTATGTGAACAATTAATAACATGACATGTTCTTGTAATCTTCTTTCTTTTGTTGGACGATTTCGTTGTGATGTAATTTGGATTTCAATTTTTTTTCACAGATCGAATGAGTTTGTTGTGATCTACAAAATGAGATCAATTTTCAATATATTTCGAGAAAAAAAAAATCATACCACTCGAGCAAGAAAAAAAAATCCTTACCGTATGGTATCACGTTCGTTTTTAAGTCGATTTTGAAAATTTTGCACAAAAGGAACGAGTTCATCGTGATCTATTGGATCTACAAATTTCAGGGGAGAAAAATACATGACCAAAAAATATCACCCCATACCACCCTGGTATAGGAGCGGTATCTTGTGGTACACGATGTTGAAAGTTGTAAATGACATTTAATATATTCCTACTATCATGTATTCAAGCATTTTACAGTCTAGTATATTTATACCACCATGATACACATTCATACCACGTAGTATACTCTTATGTAATACCAAACAATACCACCATTTTCATTTTATTTCCTTATACAAAATATGGAATATGGAATATACATTGAAGTTATTTTAGCACAAACCATTCTATTACCGTTGATCATCGATTTCATCATGATTAATAAAGGGTTAGTACCTTATTTTGGCCTGAATTATGGCCATATAATCAACTTTGGCCCGTGGTTTCAGAAATTAACATCCTGGTCTCAACTATGCAGCATATAAACTCAATTGACCCGACACATGGTTTGACCGTTAGTCAACACGCCATGTCATTGCCTCGTCAACCTAAAAATCATTACAAAAATTCAAATTATTTTCCTTATTTCTATTATTTATCATTTTCAAATTACCCAAAAATAAAATTTATTTTTAATTTTTTAATTTTAATTTTTGGTTAATTTGATTATGATAAATAATAGAAATTAGGAAAATAATTTGAATTTATATTTTTTTAATGATTTTTAGGCTAACGAGGCAATGACATGGCGTGTTGACTAGCGGTCAACGATGTTTACCGTCCAAATTGACGGTCAAACCATGTGTCGGGCCAATTGAGTTTATATGTTGCATAGTTGAGGCTAGGATGTTAATATGTGACAAGCCAAAGTTGATTATATGGTCATAGTTCATGGCAAAAAAAGGTATTAGCCCATTAATAAAAAACCATGAACCACTATTATAGTGGTATTAAACTTAGCATTAATACCTTAAATTACATTAAAAAAAAAACTTAAACTGACCCGAACTTCATAGGGTTTTTTACATAAATATTGTAATTTTAAAAAAAATTTACCCGAAGTACAGTGGTTGTAAAAATAATTCCCAATCTACTGTCTATAAAGACGAATTGGGGCGCGCACGTCTCAATTAGATTCTGAAAAGACGGAAAAGATGAATTGGGGCGTGAGTGCCTGAATTCAATAATACAGCTACCAAAAGCCCAATTGGGGTGACAATAAGACCAATTGGGGCGCGCACGCCCCAATTCGTCTAATTGCCGCCTCAATTGGTTTTATTGCCGCCCCAATTGGGCTTTTCTTCGCCCAGATGCCTTATAAACTCCCTGTATCGTCTTCTTCCTCCATAAACTCCCAACAATTCGCCTGAAACTTACCTTTAAGCCGCCGGAAATCGCTTCCTTTTCATCAACCACCCAAACCCCGTCGGAAATCGACTTCTCCAACTCTCCTTTTTCATTCCGCCGGCCATAGAAGCCGAAGAGCTTGACGATAGAGGAGGGCACCATGTCGAGAATCCCGGCCGTGGTGGCCGAAGGAGAGCCAGAGGCGGTGGTGGTCGGCGATCAGTAGCTCGTCGTGAGTCCCGCCGGCAATCTCTCTATTTATTGCCGGCGGCGAGGTTCCGGTTACCGGCGCGAGTCTCCGGCAAGGTTTTTAAATATGTTTTTAATTCTGTTTTGTGTGTTAATTGCAGCTCCTATTGTTTATGATCAATATGCTTTGATGCCGCCACCTAGAACGTTAAATCCGGCTCCATTAGAGAATGAATTATTATGGGCGGATGGTGAACATCGAGCCAATTTGGTTTGGGCAAATGAGGTATATACTTTAATTTATGAATTATAAGTTATTTTAATTTAGTTTGAATTAGTATGCATTAGGGAAAAGTACTCATTAGTATGAGTTAGCATGGATTAGCATAATATTTTATTAGTGGTTATGAATATTCTAGATTTACAGTAAAGTTATAGTGTGATATACTTATTTTGATTAAATGGTTACATGATGATGAATATAGGCTTTGGTTCGTCCATATAAGACTCGAGGTACATCTATATTAGGCAAGTATTACGAAGTTTATGAACCATACATTCGGGCTGCTGGATTGTATACTGTTATGGAGCTTGCCCTGTTGCATGGTGATTCTGACTTGATCACGACAGTAGTGGAGCATTGGCGACCAGAGACCTCCACTTTTCACCTCCCTTGTGGCGAGTGTACCATTACTTTGGAGGATGTTGTCGTGCTTATAGGGCTATCAGTCGACGGACAGGCTGTGATCCTAGATATACCGAACTCATCATTGGATGATATATGCATGAGTCTACTTGGGAAACTTCCTCCTGTAGAGCAGTGATCAGATCTTGCGAATGGACGTGTTAAGTACTCTTGGCTTAGAGACGCGTTCACTACCTTGCTAGAGGAAGCTTCAGATCATACTACTAGTCAGTATGCGCGGGCATATTGCATGCTGCTTTTAGGAGGAGTGATGTTTCCTGATCGATCTGGAGCTGAGATGCATCTTATGTATGGTCTACTTCTCAAGGATTGGGCACGTGCAGGAGGCTATGCATGCGGCGCAGCTGTATTAGCATACTTATATCGAGAGCTTGGTAGGACCACTTTGAGGATGACATCTGCACCGACTATGGGAGGTGATCTTAGAGGTTGGACCGACTTGATAGCTGCATGGGTGCGGGAGCGATTTCCAGCCCTCACCCCTTTAGATACACGCAACTGTCAGCCTGTCACGGAGGATTCACATCCACGTGCTGCGAGGTGGTTGCCCCACCTACATTAGCTCACACGGACTACATGCAGTGGTTTAGAGTGTTCATGGATGAGAGTAGACAACCATTTGTGGTGAACTGGTGATTAATTAGAACCAAAAAATAGATTATATTAATAATCACCATTAAATTATAATACTAATTAGAATATTTTGCATTGATCATGTCATGTTTGGACTTTGGATGTAGTGGCGTCCTTATCTGGAGAGATCCAGATTTTGCAGCCTATGTACTGGAGTCGGCGACCTTTCGAGCGGTGGTTCCACTGATTTGTTTTCGAGCAGTGGTCTGGCACCATCCAGATCGTACGTTACGTCAGTTTGGCATGGATCAAAACATACCCCATAGTCTATAGAGCTCAGAGGAGATATTGTGGTTGCTTCGTCAGGACCAGCGAGGAGTACCATTAGGCGCCGACTTGTGCACCACGTATCAAGAGACGATCGAGTTGTGGGATAGACGAGCTATGTATGTGGCGAGTACGATCCTTGCGATGAGGCTTTATCAGACCACTCGGAGTATATGGAGTGGTACCACGATATGACTAGACGTACTGTCTCACGGCGTGGTACAGCTGCACGAGCCATGGTTAGTTTGTCTATCTTTATTTTTATTAACTCTTAATATCTAGACATATTGATTTTAACATATTTTTCAAAACCATAATGTTTCAGCTTGACACTGTAGAGCGTGTGGCTATGAACCATGGCCAACTATGGGTGTTCTCGCTCTCAACAACGGCAAATGCAATCAGAAATATTTTTTGTTCACCTTCAAAGGAGCTTGCAATGAGCAACGTACCTTTATACTTCCCAGTGAGAAACGTTCCATCAACGAGGATGACTTCTGGACAACTCTTGAAGCCTTGTATGCAAGGGCCAAATGCCCAAAACACTCGTTGGAAGATCTTGTGGCCTGGCATAGATGAGGGGACCGTCACCTAATCAATAACAGATGTTGGGTTTTTTTACCTTGATAACACGCATCAACGTCTATAAATCATCGTATGATTTCTCTCAGTTGCCATAAAGTTTTCGATCGCCCTTTGCTTAGCATACCATGCCTTTTTGTAGCGAATAGTAATATGATACATGTCCTTGTACTCGGCCTGCAGAGCTTTGACACGTATATCTAGTTGGGCTTGAACCAAATGCTTCACAGTGTCAGAAATAATATCTACGTCAATTTGGCGATGATCCTTTGGTTGAGTCGTATTGCTACAAGAATGTGCGAAATTTGCCTTTTTAATTATCCAATCACCGCTAGCGTCTTTGGAGGCAACTCGAACCATACATGTGCAATTGCTCTCCTTGTAGTTGTAGCATTTCACCTTCCAAAGTTTTGGTGTTGACTCTACCACTCTAAATTAGAAGTTACGTTCCATCGCGTAAAGATTCAAGGCCCTCTGTGCAGCTTCTTTTGAACAAAATATCTGGCCAATGTAGAATTCTTGTCCCGGGCGGCATCCTAGATCATCATTCATATCTCCGTAAGAGTCAACTCTCATCTCGTTGTCATAGTCTTCAGGGAGCACAAAATAATGTGTTGCGGGAACATATGTCTCTACATTTGACATAGCACAAGCTCCTTCGATCACAACTCGATGCTCGCCTTCATCAACATCATCACCATCATCCTCATCCTCATTGCCCTCATCCATAAGATCATCTGGCTCACTATGGACACTACTCGAGCGCATACTATACGTATCATCCTCCTCTTCAAGATGACTAGCAAACTCGACACATATTTCAGCAAACTCGCGATTTGGATTTCGCGCCATAAAATATGTTATCATATCAACTCCAACATCATCCATAACCGAAATACCATAGTGATAAAATTTACCATTTCTTTGCAATTATGGCAATCTAAATGTAAAGGAAGTTATTGTGCCCTCTACATCTTCTTCTCGTAGATTCTTGTTGATCACCTCACATAGTTGCTCATATGTCAAACGACCATGAATTTGTAGTATGAAATTGGTACCACCAATGAACCTCAACCCCAACTTTCTCTCTTCTTTTTCAATTTCCCACCAAACAACAAGTTTAAAGGCTCTACACACAAGAAGAAGAAAAAATATATAGAACAATTAAATTAACTATATAACTAATTGGCACATATAATTCAATCTGCTAAAATAAAATTTACTAAAGTAGAAAGAAACAAAGGTTAATAGAAATACCTTCTTTTTTTTTTTGGCAAAGTCAGAGTATTAATCCAAAGTCACAAACCGGAAGAAAGTAAAGCACGGGAGTCGACCAATAGTCAAGCTCCCGATGAGAGGGCCTTATGTGCCACATGATGGGCAGCCCTATTAAGTTGACGAGAAACAAAACAGAAAGAAACACTGTGGAAGGAAGATGCCAAGCTCCTAACGTCTTCCAAAATAGTGCCACCCCGAACATGATGCATTTCACCTCCAATCATCCGGCGGATCAAGAGTTGAGAATCCCCATGAAAACAAACAGCAAGAAAGGAATGAGTTAGACACCACTGTACAGCATCCCGTAGAGCTAGACATTCCATGAGAAAAGGATCCTGAATCCCATCATAAAATTTCCCAAAAGCAAACAGAACATTACCTGTCGTATGATAGCCGACAAAGCCAATACTGCCTCCATGCCCACTCTTGGTAGCACCATCAAACCAGACATTGATAAAAGTTGAAGAACCTGGAGTCGTAGGTGTGATACTGGGAGTACGAGAAGGGCCTGGAGCTGCAGTAACAGTGCCACCGAAAGGCTGAATCGAGGAATTGGGCCCTAACGTCCTCCACTCATCCACCTGCCGTTGAAACTGCCGAAACAGAGCCGATGGGAGATATTGAATGCCTTCGTGGACCGACCAACACCTCCCCTTCCAAATCTGCCAGAGAATGAAAACAATATTAGCTATCTCAATTTTCGAAAGATTCATTGAAAAGAAAAGATGACGCCAGGCCTCATCAGGACTCATTCCTCCAAGAGTAATGCGTAAACCTTCAAGGTCCGCCAGTCTCCACAGTCCCTGAGCTACCCTGCATGAGAAGAAAAAATGGGAAAAGGATTCTGGTTCCCCGGAACATATAGGACAAATCGTGTTAGACACAAGAGTTTTAGTAAACAAAACTATCTGCAGGGGCAAGAAGCCACTGACAGCTCGCCAAAAAAAGAACTTTAGCTTTGGAGGAACAGGAATACTCCAAAGAAATTTCCAAAAACGAGAGTCAAAAGGGAGGACCGCGGGAGGATGATGCAGATTGTACTAAGATGCCAAAAGATGATAACCTGTCTTAACAGTGTAAAGACCAGAGGAAGAATAATGCCATATCAAACGATCAGTCGACACCGAAGTAGGGAGAGGAATAGACAAAATGAGATCAACACTCTCTAGAGTGAACAGAGAAAGTAAGAGATCCTTCTTCCACGAGTGAGAATTAGGGCAAATGAGATCTGAGACTAAAGGAGGACAAACACTCAAACCTGGCTTTAACACAGGAGTTGAAGGAGGAGAAGAGGGAAGCCAATTATCCGTTAAAGTATGAATCCTATTCTCGCTTCCCACTTGCCACCTTAAACCCCGAAGTAGAAGATCTCTTCCTGTCAGGATGCCTTGCCACGCCCACGAAGGACGGGAGCCTGCTGTCGCCTCCAAGAATCTCCGGTGAGGATGATACCTTGCTTGATAAATCCGGGCAAGAGTGCTAGTGGGGTTGCCAAGAATGCGCCAAGCCTGCTTAGCTAACAAAGCAACATTAAAATGATTAAAATCTCGAAAACCGAGCCCTCCCACAAACTTACTCTGAAAGATCGCAGACCAAGAGACCCAATGGATGCCATTCTCCTTATCCTGGTTTGCCCACCAAAATTTCGATAGCTGACTGTTACAGCGTCGACATGTTTCTTGGGGAAGTCTAAAAGCCGACATAGCATAGATAGGCCCCGCAGCCCCAATCGATTTGATAACCACTTCCTTTGCCGCTAGGGACAACGCCTTGGTCTTCCAACTCCGGATCCGTGCAGCCAGATCCTCTTCAATAAATTGAAAAGTCAATGATTTAGACCGACGGAGCTGGGACGGGAGGCCCAAGTACTTGTCATCAGGAGACATAGTCGCAACTCCTAGGAACGTACTGAGTGAGAGTAACTCCTGTTCAGAAACATTCGCACTCCCACACATAGCAGACTTATGAAGATTAACCCGCTGACCACTATACATTTCATATTCCGCTAAAAGCTGAAGAAGGTTAGCACATTCAGGAATAGAAGCACGTAGGAACAGATAGGAGTCATCCGCATAAAAAAGATGAGAAAGGGGAGGAGAAGACCTGTGCACTTTTAAATCATGAAGCGTAGAGACAGCAACAACTTGGCTAATCATAGCCGCAAAGGCTTCCATATATATGGCAAAAAGAAGAGGAGACAAAGGATCACCTTGACGGATGCCCCGTTGGGGCTGGAAGTAGCCATACTCATTGCCATTGAGGAGCACCGAGAATCGGACAGTCGTTACACAAGCCTTAATCCATTTCATCCACTGGGTACAGAACCCCATTAACTCCATAATATGGAACATGAACTCCCATTCCACACGATCATACACTTTCTCCATATCAAGTTTAAGGGCCATCCACTTGTCCTGCCCACGAACTTTGGTTTTAAGAAACTACATCACTTCTTGACCAATAAGAATATTATCAGAAATGCAACGACCCTTGATAAAACCATTCTGAAAAGGGCTAATAATATGAGGAAGGATGGTACTAAGTCTATTCGAGAGGATCTTGGAGATAGCTTTATACATAACCTGGCAGAGACCAATCGGACGTAACTATTGCATAGAGTCGACATTCGCAACTTTGGGTATAAGTACCAGCCACGTATGGTTGATATTATGTAAGAGGCGCCCTGTAGAAAAGAAAGAAAGGATCGCATCTGACACATCCGCTCCAATCTCGTCCCAAAATCGTTGAAAGAAGCTACCGGTGAAGCCATCTGACCCAGGGGCTTGGTATTTCCCAATGCTGAAGAAGGCCTGCTTGATTTCTGCTATAGTAATCTGTGCAGTGAGCAAAACATTCATGTGCGAAGATATCAGTGTCGGAATATTCAGGTTACTAACAAACTCCAAAAAATCACGACCATTAGAGGTGAAAATATTCTGAAAGTAAGAGAGAGAGACTTCCCCTTTCTGTTGTTCGTCAGAGTGTACCACTCCGTGCTCATCCCGGAGACGTGGGATGATATTCGAACTTCGGCGTTGCATGGTAGCTAAGTGGAAAAAACGGGTATTAGCATCACCTCCATGCAACCAACTAACCCGGGACTTTTGCTGCCAATATAGTTCCTCCTGACGGTACGCCTCTGTAAGCTGTGCTTCCAAACTTCCAATCAGTGTCCAATTAACACCACCCGCATCCCTAGCTGAATCAATAGCTTCACGGGTCTCTCTGATAAGTCGGGCAGAGTTCGAGGTACCTGCCTTAGCCCAATCAAGCAGTTCGTGGCGCACCTGTTTGAGCTTAGATTGAACCCTAAAGAGAGGGGTGCCTGCAACAGGTTTAACCCAAGCATTATGAATAATATGAGGGACATCAGGGTTGAAATCCCATCGGTTGTCATAATGAAAATGACGAGCTCGCCGAACCACCGGCTTCACAAACCGAATCAGAAGCATCCTATGGTCAGAACCCCTGTCTGTGAGATGATGTACCTGCACATCAGGCCACAAAGAGAGAACAAGGTGGTTAGCAAGGCAGCGATCCAATCTCGACTGAATATGATCGCCGTTAGATTGTCTATTGGACCAAGTAAATGGAGGACCTATAAATCCCAAATCTTGAAGACCTCCTGCGGATAAAAACAGGTTAAGTTGTTCTAAAGATGCAAGAGTGGGAGTTCTCCCCTTCTATTTCTCTGAACTAGAAAGAAGGCAATTGAAATCACCCATCACAAAAACAGGATCCTCATACGACGAAACAAGAAATGAAATTTCATTAAGCTGAAATTGACGGGGGGCAACATCACAATGTAAATGCACAAAGATAACAGCAAAACGACCCAACGACTGGTGCTCACACTCAAGGAACAAGAAACCAGATGACTCAACCGAAATAGAACACACAAGACAAGAGGACCAACTACAGCAAGTCCACTACCATTATTCGACAAGAGGACCTTGCATTAGCCATAATCTCTCAAATGGTTGAGCTATGACAATGATGTTCACAGTGGTGAATAGTTTTAGTAGGAGATGATAGTCAAAAATGGTGAAAGAATGTGTGGCAATTCATTAGCAAAATGACCTCCTTTATATAGGCACTAGAAAATAGCCGTTTCCCCCAATTTTGCTCGTTAGAGGCTTGTTTCCGTTTTGTTTTGCCCGTTGGAAATTTCCCGTTGCGCTGTTCAGAGACTTTGGGACAAAAATGTACGTTAAAACGCAAATTGGGGCGTGAATAAGCCCAATTGAGGCACGCGCCCCAACTGGGCATGTCCCCGCCCCAATTAGCTTTTTGTACCTTATTCAGGCGCGCGCACCCTAATTTGGTTTTCCGTGTACTATAAAGGCCAATTGGGGCGTGCGCGCCCCAATTCTGTTTTAATGACAATAGATTGGAAATTATTTTTACAACCACTGTATTTCAGGTAATTTTTTTTTAAATCACAATTATGGAAAAAAACCCAAGTTCATACTAATAAACTACTTTGCTCCGAGATTTATAAAATATCCATTCTGATCCAAACTATAATCCTTGTAAAGTAATTTGGCCTAATCCATAGATTAACCGTTGAGAATGGAACCAGATGGTGAACCACTGAAATTCGCATAACTCTCTGCCAAACAACCTGTTTGGAAATAGCGACAATAATGTCAATCCCTTCTCTGATGGCCATTACAAGGTCGTTACAAGACTTGGCACGGGGGACACAGTGATCACTTCCTACATTCATATTCATATTGTCATTGTAAGAGATCAATTCATGGCTTCATAGTCATCCAATTTATCGTTGTACTGAAGCACTTTCCTCCTTATCTTGGATGTGTCCACCCAGGTAATGAAGTCCTCCATGTTCCTCGTAACCAGGAATGCCGGGTCGGTCACAGTCTCCGGACCTACTCGAACGTGGCCTTGTTCGATGTATGTCACGGCTTCTTTCAAATGTTCAGCAAACTTTGCACGCACCAATACAGTTGCAAGCCTTCGTCTACAAAGCAGAAGAAATGCACAAGATTATAATCTCTGTTAAGTACAAACCGAAATGTGTTTTACTGCATAAGAATTCTGGCTCAACGAAACGGTAGCCCTTACCTGCAGAAGGAAGAGACGGACAAGCGGTCACAAAGGGCTAAGCTTTTCCTGCTTGGTATAACTCCCATGTTATACCTGTCATTTCACAAGGGAAGAACATCAGAACACAATGCTTCAACCAATGCAGATCAAACAGCCTTCATGACAGTTCGTCATAGAATAACATTAGTAACTTGCACCAAAAATTTGATTTTGGCATGTTTACTAGAGCTAACATATAAATTACCACAGTAATGCAGTGATCAATCCTCTTTAAACCATGGAAGATTAATATCTGTCGAAAGAGAGGACTCTATTGAAACAGCAAGTTATAAGTGTACCTCTATTGAATTAACAGAAGACTGAATCAAGAGGAAAAGGGGACTCACAGCTTCTCCAGAAGCATATCAGTCATTTCAATGCGATAGGGATCTTTGGGATGCATCTGTTTCAGGATATTCACCAATTTCTGCACCATTCGGCACAAACCAGAATACCTGATTTGTATTTCACATGATTGAAATAGTTAGAAGGAAAGAGAATTAAGACGCAGCCAGCTGAAGAGAGAACAAAAAAATGAGAGATGCAGAGAGAAAAAGTACATACTTCTTGTAATCATCACGCTCGACAACATGGTAACGTTGCATCACCTGGGCTTCCCTGTGGTTCCCTTCCCTCTTCCATTCTAAGAAGTTTACTTTCTTCAGAAGCTTTTTCTCATGAAATTTCAACTTCCTCATCTTTGCTACTTCACCAACCAACGACTTCGAAGATTCCTAGCACTGAAAAATACAGAAAACAGCAGGATCATTATAAAGGAGCATATGCAGATACAGATATGACAAAAAAAAAAAAAAAAAAAACACAGACAAACTTCCTCTGTCACGTCAGAACCCTGGATATGACAAGCATGCAGATCATTCTATCAAATACGATTCAATCCATAACATCCTAACAAAAATCTAAGCCAATTTGACCCAAAAAAAACAATTATAGTCCACAATGCTCGATTTCCAAGCTTTCTTAAGTTCCAGACAGACTTCAATCGGTTCATGACACCATGTGAGAGCTAATGTATAAAAAAGTAACAAACAGAAACTGCAGGATGCTGGGAGTTCAGGCCTCAGGGGAACACAAAAAGAAAAGCTGAAGATCCAGCCAAAAGCAAAGAACTCATGAGTGAACAAGTAACCAAAGCAGAATCCAACTGACTCAGAACTAGGGCAACCAACAATACCTAATCTTGGTATGCTAGAAAGAATCAGTTCTCATATAAAAACAATCGACATTCAATCACTAGTAGCTATAACTCCTAACAAAACGCATAAAACGTTTTATTAAAACCCAGAAATGAATCTCAACTAATCTAAAAAGGAGAATCTTTTATCATTGCAACAGCTGGAATAGGTCTCAAACTTCCTTGAGAGCTTCAAATCAGATAACAAATTTCTCCCGCAAACCTACCCACTACACAGTGAACTTTACCATATAAGAGCAGCAGAACCAAGGAACTAGAGACGAAATGACCATACTAATCACCATAGCATCACCATTTCACCAATTCACAATGTCGGTAGAGAAAGCAACACGGCATATGAACGCTCGCCGACTAAAGAACCAATGCAAGGAAAGCCAAAAATCAACCCGCATCAACGGGAAATTGGGGAATCCAGAATCCATTTACCTTGAATACACCGCGATTTCAGGCGACGGAGAGTGGTGGCGAGCGGTGGAGGAGAAGACTGAAGAGGCGAGGTCGAGGGCGAAAGAGCGAGAGTCGGGGCTTGGCCAATGCTGATTCTCAATGCCTGGACGATTGGTTAAGGGTTTAGCAGTTTAGGGGTTTATGGGATTGAGTGCAAAAATAGTCATTCAACTTTGGGGTAGAAACAAATTGGTCATCAAAACTAGTTTTTTAACAAAATTAGGTTATTAAGAAAAATTTGTCCAACTTTCAGAAAAAAAAAAACTTACCCAAATTTAAGAAAAAATAAATACAAACACAATGTCAGTCCATCCAAATTTTGTTTCTCTTTTGAGCAAGGTGATTTTGAAGTTCCATTGTAATAACTTTCTACTTGTTGCTAGGTGTTGGAGCCTTGGAGGCGAGTAGCTAAGCTAGAATGGTGCTCGAGGGTTCTTGCAATTAAGTCCATAAAACTATCGTGAGGATGATTCAAATTTAAAAGGGTGAGGAATAGGGATAGAATGCCCATGAGTAGCAATAGAAGTCACCAAGGTGTTGGGGAAGGTCGAATTTCATTGAAGATGGCAAAGACTGATGTCCAGTCGGCTAGCTTTGTAAGTGTATTTTGATCTTCTCTTGTCAAGATGAAGCGAGCTCCATAAAACCTCAGATCAACTAACTCAACTATGTTAATCCAATCGCTGAAAAATCCTACATTTTCACATATGGTCGTTCCTGTGATAACGACTGATTTCTCCTCTGGTAAGCAAATAGCGTTGGTTGAAGTCCCAAGTATGAATAGAGGGGATGTCAAAGTTTTGCTTTGACCAATGAGATCTTCTGATGGACTTGGGTTGTATTTGGAAGGAGAGTCTTTCTTTGTACGAGGCTTGATATTCCTCGGTGTCTTATTTGATTTCGCTTTGTTCTTGGCTTCTTGCCATATTCAAAGGTCTAGAGTCATGGAGGTTGTCTACTGATGTGTTTTTCGATTAGAGTTGAATGATTTGCATGGAGGTTCGGTTGGGGCCGTGAGTGTATGGGTAGAGGGAGAGACGAGGAAGTTATGGTTGGGGCGGGCTGGACAAAGGGCCCAGATAGCCCGTGCCTTGAAGTTGGGCCACTCATTAAGGTAGACATAATGCTAATCGACGTTAAACTATTGAACTAATTTTAGTTACCACGAATGAAATTAAATATTTTTATTGACCAAACATGAAACTACTTTTTGGTAAATTCAATTATCAAACTCGTAATTTGCCCTTTAATACTCAATTTCGACAGAGATCAGTCCTTCGTCTCACATATTTAGATGAGCAAGACGTTCCAGGTCGCACTTTAGTGTCAAACTGTCAATACACTGGGAATGTGACAAATATTGGGCCAATCCAAACCTCCACCTTGCCAACACCGATCTTCCAGATAGTGGCAATCTTCGATCTCCAAACGCTGTAGAGATGTGAGCTGGCGCAGCGGCAGATGCAGGACATAGTAGAGCACCGAGCCGCATTTCATTAGAAAACTAGATACCGCAAAAAATTATAATTTTTTTTACAATATCAATTTTACACATCGATCTTTTAATATAGTGAAATCATCAATAAAGGAGTCTACGTCCATACTAATAGCATACTACTCTTTTTCAAATAAAATAGTTAACCAATCGACGAGAAATTCATCGCTCATTTTGTTGCGCAAATCATTTTTCATATGTTCCATTGATGAAAAGGTTCTCTCCATAATAGTTGTTGAAACGGACAATGTCAACACTAGACAAATCAATCGACTAATCAATTTGTATTGTGTATCCATCCCTATTTCCACCACCTGCTCTAGTGATTTTTCAAGTGAACAAATCTCATATTTCTTTTAGTCTTTTACGTTTTAGACTTTTAGACTTTTAGGTTTCATTATTTGTTTTTCTTTAGACGAGACTAATTTGAGCTAGAATTTCTAGACTAAATTTAGAGTTATGATTTGAATATATTCATCTTACTCATTTTCCTTATTAAACACAATTTTATTATAAAATAACACTGGGCCAAATGACTAAAATCGACAAACGCATAAGGGCTATACTAGTTTCGGATCCAGAGGAGGGCTATGCCGTGGCCCGGGGTGGCCACCCCTGGATCCGCCACTGCTCTCAAGACTCGCTAGGTTGCACAGCTACTCCTCATGCAAATCTTCAAAATCATTCACATAAGACAACTCGAGCTCCTTCAGTCTCCTTAGGGAATATTGATGGATCGAGACAGGGAGAGATGCTGATCCTTCATAACCAGCCGTGTCCATGCTTCGCAACAATGTATCCAAGCTAGCGAGGCCCCAATGCAGAGAACCATCAAGGTTTGGGAATGCAGGGATCTGCTTCATCTGGTGAGGCCCCAATATCGTCAGTGAAGACAGACAGGGGAAGCTGCAAGGGGACGGTTGATCCGCATCCTCAACACCAACAACAGTAGTGCAAGTGTTGTCCTTCCATAACCCTTTTAGGTCTGAACAAAATGAGATGTTCAGCTTCTTCAGAGCCGGATTACGATGCAGAGGTGGGAGGTATTCGCATTTCTCACAGAATTCTAGTTTAATCTCCTCCAATCGCGACCTAAAAAAGTCGCTTGGAAAGCTCCTGCCTGGGTACCATTTTATTGTTAGCTTCTCCAGATTGCTATGTGGGCGTATTGGAATGATGATTGGAATCACCAACAGCAGCAGCTCGGACTTCATTTGATCACTCTGCATCAAGCTGCTGCTGTAAGGAAGAAGGCAAGCTTCCCACGAAGTGCAGATCAAGTTCAAGTCGGAACGACACCTTTCTTCTCCTATCCAGAAACAAGGATCGAAGTGAAACGTTGCCGTTCCGTTGCCTGAAGAAGCGTGGAGCTCCAAGCCGCTGCCGTTTTAATTAATCTCTATTAGAAGTTAGTTAGCCACCTGTACAGGTTTTATTGGTTAGTTTGAGTTGTTAGTTTTTACTGTAGATTAGCCATTGCTAATCAACTTTACCTTCTCTGTACAGCTTTGTATATAAATGGAAATGCAAAACCAAGGAGCTCTCAGTTGAGAATCCTTCCACAAAACTCTATCTACTCAATTTCTTCTCATGGTATCAGAGCCTGGTTGCTCTATACCTTAGATCTCAACCAAATTTTGTTCGATCTTAGCGATTCCGCTTCGCAATGTCCACTCCTCCTCCCGGCGTCGATGGCCATGTCTCTGATGGCTCTGAATCGTCTGAATCTGGAAACCCAGGACAGACTTCCACCACTCCGCCGCCGATTCCAGCACAGCCGCTTCAAACCCTACCACAGGTGCCGCCTCAGGTGCCCAGATATGAGGATCCATACCTCAATCCTTACTACCTTCCTCCTCACGATGGAGGCTTGACCACCATCATCTCCATGAAGCTGACTGACCAGAACTACAATCTCTGGAGTCAGATGATGGAGCTTGCTCTCAGCACTAAAAACAAGCTTCAGTTCGTCAATGGTATGATCCCTGTTCCTCAACCCATTGATCCAATTTGGCAATCTTGGCATCGCTGTGACAATACATTACGATGCTGGATATACAACTCTCTTTTTGATGATATTGCGAATAGTGTGGTGCCCTTTCGTGTTGCTAAAGAAGTATGAGACAATCTGCGAGACAGATTTAGTCAAGAAGACTATATTAGGGTGTATGAGCTCAAAGAGCAGGTTTCTAAGCTCGTCCAAGGAGATCTGACTGTTTCACAGTATTATACAGCCCTCACCACAAAGTGGCAAGAATATAAGATGTATAGACCACTTACCTGCTGCCCTTGCCCTAATAGTCCATACCACACCATGACCAGATATCAGGAAGAAGATTTCATCATCAAATTCATGCAGGGGTTGAATGATACTTACCAATCTGCGGGTACCCAGGTGCTTATGAGTACCCATTTACCCAGTATTGAGTCTGTTTTCAAGCAGATGGTTCAACTTGAGCGACAGCTCAAGGGTTCTGCTACTAAGCCAAGTGAATTCCTTGGCATTTCTAGCTCAAGGGTCTTCCTCCTCTGGACGCTCCAATACCAATGCACGAAATCCTCGTGATTACACCAATGAAGGGAAGAAGTGGTGCCGTTATTGCAAAAAGGAAAATCATACCATCCAGGAATGTTATAGGTTGAAGAACAAGAAATCTAGAGAGGGTACAGATGGTACTCCCTTTGCTGGTGCTGTTGATGTTTCTGGTTCTGATGGAAGTAGCAATGCTAGCTCTGCTGCAACAGGATCAAAACCATCCTTGAGTTCCTTGCTTACTCCTGATCAGTTTGAGAAGCTCAGGAATCTTCTGAATGGGTCCCCTTCTCCATCACCTTTACCTCCCAGCTCACCCAATCTACCTAATGTCAATGCAATGATCAGGGCACCTCAACAATCACCTCATTTTGCAGCCAGCACCTCAGGTACTACTTCCTTGTCTCCAACCTTGAATGAAACAGTCTGGGTATTAGATACAGGTGCTACAGACCACATAATCTGTAACATGTCTACCTTCATCAAGTATAAACCTATGGAAGGTGTTAATGTGTCTCTACCTAATGGACACCATGTGAAAGCCACTCATATAGGCATAGTCAGGTTACCTTGTGGATTGTTCCTTACCCAAGTCCTCTTCATTCCATCCTTTACTTACAATCTTGTTTCTGTAAGTAAATTGACCAAAAATCACCCTGTCTCACTAGTCTTCCAATCCAATTTTTGTACCATTCAGGACCTTATTACTCGGAGGAAGATTGGTTTAGCTCAAGTTGATAAAGGCCTCTACCTCTTTTCTGATTCCAAGCTTCAAGAATTTCATCCTCCAGTTCCTTCTTCCAGTTTTGCAGTAGGAGTTTCCAGTTCCAAGCCTTCTGCTTCTGATATTTGGCATGCCAGACTAGGCCATCCCTCTTTGTCTAGGATGCAAATTATTAAACATGTTTGTAATGATGTTGTTCTTCCTTCTTCCAAACATTGTGAGACTTGTCACTTGTCCAAACAAAAATGACTTCCATTTCCCAACAACACTTCTGTCAGCTCAGAAGCTTTTTCTTTCCTCCACGTTGATATCTGGGGACCCTTGAATACCATGTCTAGGGAAGGATACTCCTACTTCCTTACCATTGTTGACGATCACACTAGAGATGTTTGGGTCTTTTTAATGAAATCGAAATCTGAAGCCAACCCCCTTTTACAATCCTTCTGTATAACGGTTAAAAACCAATTTTCCCAATCCATCAAAACCATTCGAACTGATCAGGGTCAAGAATTCCACATGGCTGACTTTTATCGCAGTCATGGCATCACTCATGAGATGAGCTGCGTTTACACAGCCCAACAAAATGGCCCCGTTGAGCGTAAACATCAACATTTGCTCAACGTGGCTCGATCACTCAAATTTCAGTCAAGACTTCCCCTTTCCTTTTGGGGTGACTTTGTCCTGCACGCAGCCTATCTCATTAATCGAACTCCAACACCTCTTCTTAACCACAAATCACCCTATGAAATGCTTTACCAGGTCCCTCCTGATTACATGAGCCTGTGTGTATTTGGTTGCCTGGCTTATGCCACTGTTGTTGGAGGTCATAAGACTAAGTTTGCACCTCGTGCCAGGAAACGCATCTTCCTTGGCATTCCCACAGGTATAAAAGGATTCAAACTCCTTGACCTTGACTCTGATCAGGTCTTTATCAGTAGAGATGTCCTCTTTCATGAAGCCATTCTACCATTCAAACAATCCCAGTCTGCCAATCCTGCAACTCTTCCTCCTGATCATTCTCCTTCACCTGTCGTGGATGATGATGTTTTTCCACTCTTATCTACTGACATTCCTAACATTTCCTCTCCTCCTGCTGCTAGTCACTATCCTTTTGACTCTGACAGTGAGAATGATCAGCCTCCTTCCTCACCTAGTCCTCATCATCCCTCACCTAGTCCTTCTCATTCCTCACCCAGTCCCTATCATTGCCACTCTTCTCCTTCCTCCATTCCTTCCACCTCTGCCAAACCTGTAGTTCCCCCTAGGAAATCCACAAGGGTACCTGTCTTTCCTAAGAAATATGATGACTTTTATGTTGGTTCAGTCCAAGTCAGTATGTCCCATCTCAATCCTCCTCAGCAACATTTTGCTCTTACCTTGCTTACCAATGAGGAGCCAGTGAGCTATGCTGAAGCTGCCAGAGATCCCAGATGGAATGCAGCCATGAATGAAGAGTTCAGTGCACTTCAAGCTAATGACACATGGGACATTACTGACTTGCCTGGGGGGTTAATCCAATTGGCTCCAAATGGGTGTACAAAACAAAGTACAAGTCAGATGGAGCCTTAGAAAGGTTTAAGGCAAGGGTAGTTGCTAAAGGCTATACCCAAATATATGGGATTGATTATTGTGATACCTACTCACCAGTGGCTAAGATCACTTCAGTTAAGATATTACTGGCTGTTGCTTCTGCTCAGAAATGGCATTTACACCAAATGGACGTTAACAATGCATTTCTTAATGGAGAGCTTGATGAAGTGGTCTATATGGAATTGCCACCTGGATTAAGGGATCTACCTGAGTACAAAGGGAAGGTTTGCAGACTCAAGAAGTCTCTTTATGGACTGAAACAAGCCAGTCGAATGTGGTATGCAAAGTTAACTGAGTCTTTACTTAGTAATGGTTTCAAACAGTGTCTTGCAGACTATTCCATCTTCCTTTCCACTGGGGCATCTGGTTGTTTTAATTGTCTATGTTGATGATATAGTGGTTGGCAGTGCTAGCCTTGATGTAGTGAAGGAAGTTAAAAGGATGCTGATGTCCTTGTTTAAGATGAAAGATCTGGGAGAATTACAGTACTTCCTTGGCCTGGAAGTTAGCAGAACAGATAAGGGAATTCATGTTTGCCAACGAAAATACTGCATTGAACTTCTAAAAGAGGCTGGTTTTGATGAGTGCAAGCCAGCAAAGACCCCATCAAGTGTCAAACAAGTGCTCTCTGCCTCAGATGGGGAACCTTACCTTGATATTTCCTTGTTTAAGCATCTCCTTGGACAACTCCAGTACCTGAACAACACCAGACCTGACATAACCTTTGCTGTGCAACAGTTGTGTCAGTTTCAAGATGCTCCAACAACTGTACACAACAAGGCATCACATAGGGTATTCAGGTACCTTAAGAACTCACCAGGCCAAGGCTTATTCTATCCCAGTGATTCTTCTATGCAGTTAACTGGTTTTAGTGATTCAGATTGGGCAACTTGCCCGGATTCCAGAAGGTCTATCACAGGGTTTTGCACATTTCTTGGTAAAGGGTTGATAAGTTGGAAGAGTAAGAAGCAGAGAACTGTATCTAAATCATCCTCTGAGGCAGAATACTGAGCGCTAGCCAACCTTAGTTGTGAAGTTCACTGGCTAGTCAGATTACTTGCTAATTTTGGCATTGATCACCCTTCTCCTGTTATGGTGTTCTGTGATAACCAGTCCGCCATTCATATTGCAAGAAACCCTGTGTTTCATGAACAGACAAAACACATTGAAGTGGATTGTCACGTTATCAGGGAGATATTGACCAATGGGTTGATCAGTTTACATCATTTGTCTACTATTCATCAGCTTGCAGATTTATTTACCAAAAGCTTGGGCATAGATCGTTTTAACCTTCTGTTGTCCAAGCTGGGAGTTTCTGGAAGACCTTCGCCAGCTTGTGGGGGGGGGGGGGAGGGGGTATTGGAATGATGATTGGAATCACCAACAGCAGCAGCTCGGACTTCATTTGATCGCTCTGCATCAAGCTGCTGCTGTAAGGAAGAAGGCAAGCTTCCCACGAAGTGCAGATCAAGTCCAAATCGGAACGACGCCGTTCTTCTCCTATCCAGAAACAAGGATCGAAGTGAAACGTTGCCGTTCCGTTGCCTGAAGAAGCGTGGAGCTCCAAGCCGCTGCCGTTTTAATTAATCTCTGTTAGAAGTTAGTTAGCCAGCTGTACAGGTTTTATTGGTTAGTTTGAGTTTTTAGTTTTTACTGTAGATTAGCCGTTGCTAATCAACTTTACCTTCTCTGTGCAGCTTTGTATATAAATGGAAATGCAAAACCAAGGAGCTCTCCGTTGAGAATCCTTCCACAAAACCCTATCTACTCAATTTCTTCTCAGGGTGGAGCCTTTCCAGCAAGGCTTCCGTAGCAACAACATCCTGAGGTCCATAATCCCATATCAGCGTTAGTGACTTGAGATTCATCTTCTCTTTTAAAAAATGATTCTGGTCATCACAACCATCCGTCTTTAGGAGACTACCCACGCCTTTGATTGTCAGCTCTCCACCCAAAAAGTTGAGTTGTCTCAACTCTTCCAACACAGCAACAACCTCACCACCAAACTCACTTGGATCAGCCACGATGAACAAGTCCAATGTAAGAAGGGAAGTAAGCTTCCCAATCCCCTTTGGCATGTGAGTCAGCTTGACATAGCCGTCCAAGTAAAGATGCCTCAGATTGACCAGCTTCTCTATGTCTCCAGGCAGTCGCTCAAGCAACGTACAGTTGGACATGTTAAGCACTTGAAGGTTTACGAGGGTGGTGAGGGAAGCAGGAATCTCGGTCATCAAGACAAGAGCGAAATCGAGATACCGTAGTTGCTTCAACTCACTGATCGCATTTTGCAAATGTTACAATGATCAACTTTTGTGTTTGGAGAAATGGCAAATGTTACAATGATCAACTTTAGCGTGTGTTACAGTAGGATTACTATGCTGCAATTACAAAAGAAAACCAACAAACAGTACAAAAGAAAATTACAATATATACAAAAATAGTCATATAAACAGTACAAATGTAATAGAGAAAGATGACAAACAAGAGGGGCTTTCCCTTTGCTGGGCCTTCACTCCAAGCCCACGTTGGCCTTTTGGGCTACCCACTTGGGCCTTTATGTGCCCCCCAACAGTAGGTTATCCCTTTACTAACCATCGTCCTAACTTAATACATAATTTACCGAATTGCCCATTTTGAATTTTAAAATCAAACACAAAACAAATAACCCCTTTCCCTTCCATAAATCTAAAAATATATATATAAACTAAAATCCAACAAATTATCCTATGGACCGAATCATAAATTATAGCAAAAGAATAGAAAATTATTGATATAAACCAAAAAAATTCAAAAAATCCCAAAACACCTCAACTGAAGCACACCTCAACTGGTTGAGCCATGGTGCAACCGAAGGTGATTTTCGATTGGTCCATGGTGCAACCGAAAATAGGCTTTGGTTGAGGGATTTTGGGTTTTTTGGAAAAAAAATCAATTTTTTACCTTGTCAGAGTCGCTACTCATGATTTAGACGTATTCTCACGATTACGACTCAAGAATGTCAATGTTGAATTTTTTTTCTTAGTCAAAGTGATGTTTGTTTGCTAAAGATGCCAAAATATTAAAAGTGTAACTTTGTTAGGACGATCAAAAGTAATTTTAAATACGAATCATGAGGATCCCATCACCTTCGACAAAAATGGAGATTTTCCGGTAAGATTTGCGCGGGCCGAAGGAATTCTTTGGCCGGAACCACGATGGGTTGAAGGATTTCTTCGGCCGGAATCACGACGGGCGAAGGATGCCTTCGGCTGGAACAACGACGGGCCACTATAAATTTTTGCCCCGACCAGGCTCCGGCCACAGAATCCTTCGGCCCGACCAGGTACTGGCCGTCGGAAATTTTCATTTTGGCCCGAACCACGACAGGCCATCCGGAAATTTCGGCCCAACTAGGCTCTGACGATATTAAGGTTATTTATGCTTTTATTTAGATTATAAATTATAAAGTTTTAAATATATATATGTGTGTGTGATAATTATATATTAGTTCATTCTGCTTATTAATTTTAGAATTTAGGAGTACATTATGTTTGTTAAAAAATACTATGTTTAATTAGAAAAAATTATATTCAAGTTATAGCAACAACAGTAATTAATGTGGGGTCCTAAACGTATAGGAATTGCCCGTTTCTCGATTTGAGGTCCCATGTGAAGACATCATGAATAGTGATGAAGGTTTTGATCGAGGGTTCTGATAGCCCGGGGTCAAAACATTGAGTTCATTTGACTAGAATGAGTCTTTCGATGATGCAAATTGTTGTTGTTAGTAGAGGTTGGAACGATTCGGCCTCCAAGATGACGTCATAGTTGGATTGGATGTATCAAGGTAGAAGGTTGGCGGTTTGGTGGATAAGAGTTTAGGGTTTGGGAGGGGTAGAAGAATTGTTTCTAAAATTAAACAACAAACATAATTTATTTTTAAATTTCAATACTAAACCTAATTTATTTTTCATTCAAACTCTAAACCCTAAATTAAGCTTTGATTTAGAGTTTATGGTTTGAATGAGTGGCTTTAGTATTTGAATTATGGAATAAATTAGGTGATCGACCCCGAAAGAGCGCGGCAGCCACTTCATCCCCTGCACGGGCCTTCCCTCGCTTGTCAGCCCCGGGGTTCGATCCGCTCGACCCGTTGGTGGGTCCGATCGGTCGGTTCGGCCCAGTCCGGCCGGATTCCCCGCCGCCACTCCTCGGCCACCTCCAAGCCTCCTCTCGAGCCTCTCGTACCAGGTCCAGGCGGCTGACTGGTCCTCCCCTGCTTCCCGGATTGCCTCTCGCATGCACCGATCCTCCGCGTTCCTCACCTGGCGTGCGTCCTGTCTTGGTCCGCATCTCCTGGAACCCGTCGTGCCTCGTGCTGTCTTCTCTCCTTGCACGACTGCGTTGTTCATCGAACCGCCCCACTGCCTTTCCCTCATCGTCGCTAAAGGCCAGGTTTCCCCAGGCCATCCCGCTTAGAACAATGGCCTCATCGGGCCCGTGGAGTCATGTTCGTCCCTTCGCGGCGCTCGAACCGTGCGGTGGCGGCACACTCGGAGTCCCGCCGTGACCTCCTCCATTTGCCGAGTCCGGCTCCCCCTGTCGTGCCCTTCAGCTTCTCTACCGGAGGTATTTGATCAATCGTCCTTTGATTCCCTGGCTTCTCCCGGTCAGTACCGTCGGGGCCGGACTTTTCCGCTTCGTTCCTCGCAAGCTCATGGAATCCCCGACGCATGATGTCCCGGAGTTCCTGCATCTCCCTGCGTATGGACTCGGATTCCTGCGCAAGCTTCCTCACCATGGATTCCGATTCCTGCTCAACCTTCTGCTGAAGCTCCCTTCGTCCCTAGCGACCCTCGATCTGGAGCAGGTTCTGCGACTCCTTGAGCTGGCCAATATCTGCCAGGATCACGTTGCGGTCATCTCCAATGGCATGAAGCTGCTGGTCGTGCTCGACAAGACGGTCCAGGACCTCCCGGATCTGCTGCCCTATAGCGTCGTCGGCGACCTCTGTTGAAGAAGAACTCGTGTTGTTCTTCTTTGGCGGCATGGTGCTCGGCTCCTGGGTTCTTTCGAAACCAGGCTCTGATACCAATTGACGCGTGAACGTTTCACGCGTCGGGATTTCGCAAGCGAGAAGCTAAGAAAAACTGAAAGAACTGGTTTATTATTTTCTGGTGAATAAAACGTAGAGGACAAATCCCATAACCCTTTCCCTCTCAAACAAGGAAACCCAATCCTAAACCAACTCCTAACCGATTACTTCCTCATCAAGAAATAATAATAAGACAAAATAACCAAAGGAATATCCAAATAAACAATAATAATAATAACCAAAATTAGTTTAATAACCCAGACGGTCATAAAACGTGTACTCATCATACCCTAATGCGACGGCAAAGAAGTTAAGTGAAGAAGTGCTCTATCGAGTGAGTGGAGATCCTGCCCTCCAATTAGAGTTCGATAGTTTTGGAGTAGTATAGATAGTGCATTGTACTTCTTTTATAGAGGATGTAATGAAATAGATGTAATGAAATAGATGTAACCAACATTTATGCAGTAAATGTTGGACCTCTCATTAGCATCATCCTCTATAAAAGAAGTACAATGCACTATCTATACTACTACAAAACTATCAAACTCTAATTGGAGGGCAGGATCTCCACTCACTCGATAGAGCACTTCTTCACTTATCTTCTTTGCCGTCGCATTAGGGTCTCTGATCGCTTTTGAACCTTACAGGCGGGAGCACCTCTCGCGCCACACATGGCTAAGCACAACACTCCAATACACGCAACACAACCTTGACCTTGGCGTCTTCAAGTTCCACTCCTTTACACACCAAGCTACTGTCTCCTCCCAAGTCCATGTAACAGGTGGAGAATGGGTTTTCAAACACTGTTGCAACACAAAAACAGTATAAGAGCATTTCACGAGCAAGTGCTCTCTGCTCTCCATCCCTCCAGGTCACAACAAACAGATACCAGACACTGGTTTTCCCCAAGACAACAACTTATCTTGAGTTACCAGTCGGTTTTGTAAAGCCAACCATAAGATCAGTCCATGCTTGGGAATTACATCCTTTGCCCATACTAACTTCCACCAGATAACTTCTTGCTATTGCTGCCTGATATGATTCCACACTCTGGTGGGAACCGAATACCTATTCATTTGCTCAACCATAAGATCAGTCCATGCTTAGGAATTACATCCTTTGCCCATACTAACTTCCACAAGATAACTTCTTGCTATTGCTGTCTGATATAATTCCACACTCTGGAAACCGAATACCTATTCATTTGCTCACCTTGCCACAACATACATGTACCAGTCCCAAAGACAAATGGGTAGGCTAGAGCTCTGCATAATCGTTTCCAAATCCATGTTCCTGCAGAAGTAACTGAGATATCCCATAGAATTTTACCCTTCAATCTGTACCCGGAAACCCAGGCAACCCACAGTGACCCACCAGAGGTAAGAATCTCCCAGATATGCCGCAGAACACAAGCTTTGTTCCAAATACTGAAGTTACGAATGGCAAGCCCTCCTTCTTTCTTAGGAATTGCCAATTTATCCCATGCCATTACTGTCCGTTTCCTAACCCCATCTTCAGCTGAATCCTACAAGAATTCATTATATTTCTTTGAACTTTTTGAACAATTATTTTCTGAAATCGATTTGTAATTGCTTTTTGTCGTACTAACTTTTACGTGCATTTATCATTTCTTGCAGAAGAAACCAATGATATTAGTATTGGATTAGAAAGTAAAGAGTAGACCTTTTTTTGGTGCACGTTCAAAATCAATTTTGTTAGCACGCACTGAACATATTCCTTTACCTCTAAGTAAAAAATGACCATATTTTTATTTGTTATGTAAAAAACCAATGGAACTTATATTTTTTATATGATATAATTGCATGCATGTTGAAGGACCACAAAATAGTTAGTAATTTTTTTTTCAATATCCATATCAAATATATAATACTTGTAATATATTAAATGCGTTTAAAACACATACTATTATAGAATTGTCGGCTTATTTTTGGTTTATTTATTTTTCAAGTATTGAACTCGTATAACATGTTTAATACACATATGTTAAGGAATTAAAATGATAATTTATTAAATTTTATTTGATTTTTAAATATGATTTCTAATTTTCATTGTTAATACCAAACTGTTAAACATTACACAATGGATAAAAATAAGAATTTAACATTAAACCATATGGTTGTTGGAGCCTCCAAAAATACGCCACTCTCATGCATATAAAGTTATAAACTAACTAAAAAGACAACGCTAGCAAATGGGGGATTATTGTCAATTGTGTCCTTGTGGGATGGGATGTCCATAGTTAACTCTTACACGGTGACAATGGGTTGCTGGAAAAGAAAACAAACAACCCAAGTGATATGCCTACAGCTAGGGATGGCAATTACCCACTCATGGGTAATTTTACCCAAATCCAAATAAATCCATTTAGTATGGGTAGGGTTTGGATGAAGTGTAGATGGGTTTGGGGGTTTGTAGATGGGTTTGGGTTAGGTATGGATATCTCTTTCATAATGCAAATGGGTATGGGTTGGATATGGATATCCATTTACTTGAGGGTGTTTTAACTACACACACAAAAAATGGACCTATTTGTAAAACTTGAAAAATTTAGGTACCAAAATGTAAGACCAAAAAAATTTAGGTACCAAAACGTAATTTTCCATCGATATTTTGAGGACTTATATGCAAAAAAAATTAAATTTAGGTACTAAATCTGCATATCTATTAAGTTTAGGTACCAAACTGTAATTTGCCATTGGGCATGGGTACAAACCCAAATCCATGTGTTAAAAACCCAACCCAACCCAAGTAAATGGGTATGGGTACAAATCCATCAAACTCTACCCATCTACCATTTATTTGGAATCCACACCCAACCTAATTGGGTTGGATAGTAAAATACCCATGGGTATGGGCAAAATTGCCATCCCTACCTACCGCTAACATCCCACAGGTCACAGAAAAAAGACTTAGAAGTCCTTCCTTGCATTGTGGGGAGGCCAGGAAATAATGAATTGAGTAGGTGTTGAATGAGAACTTGCTTATACATGCGGTAGCAGAAAATAATAATAAATGCAATTAGGGGTAGTTTGTAACCTTTGATTTCGAAAATATCGTATTACAAGAATGTGTGTACTAGGATTATGTGTATACTTAGAATTAATGTGTGGGTTATAAGAAGATGCATGTTATTTGCCGCCAACTTTTTAATATATTTTTAGTTACATTTTATTTATTTACGACTTTGGAAAATGATTTTTCACAATTTATAAAAAATATCAAACTCCCCCAACTTCAAAAAAACTTAACAATTGTAAAAATTTACATTCCTCGGAAAGTCGTCGAAAAGTCACCGGAGAAGTAGCCGGAAAACTCATAGAAGAAAGTGAGAAACTTTCAGACTCTAAAACCTAATCCAAACACCCTAAACTCTGAATTCAAACTAACTTATTTTTAAATTTCAATAATAAACCTAATTTATTCCATAATTCAAATACTAAATCCACTCATTCAAACCATAAACTCTAAATCAAACCTTAATTTAGGGTTTAGAGTTTGAATGAAAAATAAATTAGGTTTAGTATTGAAATTTAAAAATAAATTATGTTTGTTGTTTAATTTTAGAAACAATTCTTCTACCCCTCCCAAACCCTAAACTCTTATCCACCAAACCACCAACCTTCTACCTTGATACATCCAATCCAACTATGACGTCATCTTGGAGGCTGAATCGTTCCAACCTCTACTAACAACAACAATTTGCATCATCGAAAGACTCATTCTAGTCAAAAGAAACTCGATGTTTTGACCCCGGGCTATCGGAACCCTTGATCAAAACCTTCATCACTATTCATGATGTCTTCACATGGGACCTCAAATCGAGAAACGGGAAATTCCTATACGTTTAGGACCCCACATTAATTACTGTTGTTGCTATAACTTGAATACAATTTTTTTCCTAATTAAACGTAGTATTTTTTTAACAAACATAATGTACTCCTAAATTCTAAAATTAATAAGCAGAATGAACTAATATATAATTATCACACACACACACATATATATTTAAAACTTAATAATTTATAATCGAAATAAAAGCATAAATAACCTTAATATCGTCAGAGCCTGGTTGGGCCAAAATTTCCCGATGGCCTGTCGTGGTTCGGGCCAAAATGAAAATTTCTGACGGCCAGTACCTGGTCGGGCCGAAGGATTCTGCTGGCCAGAGCCTGGTCGGGGAAAAAATTTACAGTGGCCCGTCGTGATTCCAGCCGAAGGCATCCTTCGCCCGTCGTGATTCCGGCTGAAGAAAGCCTTCAACCCGTCGTGGTTCCGGCCAAAGAATTCCTTCGGCCCGCCCAAATCTTACTTGAAAATCTCCATTTTTGCCGAAGGTGATGGGATCCTCATGATTCGTACTTAAAATTACTATTGATCGTCCTAACAAAGTCACACTTTTAATCTTTTGGCATCTTTAGCAATCAAACATCACTTTGACTAAAAAAAAATTCATCATTGATGTTCTTGAGTCGTAATCGTCGAGAATACGTCTGAATCATGAGTAGCGACTCCAACAAGGTAAAAAATTGATTTTTTTTCCAAAAAACCCAAAATCCCTCAACCAAAGTCTATTTTCGGTTGCACCATGGACCAATCGAAAATCACCTTCGGTTGCACCATGGCACAACCGGTTGATGTGTTCTTCAGTTGAGGTGTTTTGGGATTTTTTGAATTTTTTTGGTTTATATCAATAATTTTCTATTCTTTTGCTATAATTTATGATTCGGTCCATAAGATAATTTGTTGGATTTTGGTTTATATTTCTTTTTTAGATTTATGGAAGAGAGAGGGGTTATTTGTTTTGTGCTTGATTTTGAAATTCAAAATGGGCGATTCGGTAAATTACGTATTAAGTTAGGACGATGGTTGGTAATTTTTAGGACGACCTTTAACCATTAAGTACAATTGGGATAACCTACCGTTGGGGGGCACAT